GGATGCAACATGATCTATCCATGTTCTATTCTATCCATGTATCCCCCACCCTTCATGTACGTTGTACATAGTAACAGCTATACTACGGGGGATGCATGCTATACCCCATACCCTAAACACAGTGGCGTACATTCCTTACCTACTTGGTGCGTTTCCCACTGCCCTACCTATTTGGTGTTTCTCCCACGCCTCCTGCTCTGCACGTGGTGTGACTTTGTCGTCTCCTTCCACGTCCCTGACCACACAATGGAGGAAGGGAAAAGGGACACAGGTTGAACTGCATTTGGATCCTGGTCCTTATAAAGAGAGCAGAGTGTTTTGTGGCGTACACGTCTCGTCACTCTCCACATCCCTCACACTCACTCACACCCCTCACACTCACTGACACCCCTCACACTCACTGACACCCCTCACACTCACTCACACCCCTCACACTCACTCACACCCCTCACACTCACTCACACCCCTCACACTCACCCACGCCCCTCACACTCACCCACACCCCTCACACTCACACTCACCCACACCCACACACTCACTGGTATCGCTTCATCGCTACAGCAAACCGCTTGTCCTGCTGCACCTTCTCCTCCTTGTCGTACGCCTCTGGCAGGTGGTACTGCAAGCAAGGAAGACGAGGAGGGACGGCAGAGGGCAATCGACAGTCATGTTTGTGACTGAACTTCTCAGCAAACCGCTTGTCCTGCTGCACCTTCTCCTCCTTGTCAGGTGGTACTACCGTGAGGGGGGCGGGAAGGGGGGTAGCGGTGAGGGAAGGAAGAGGGCAATACGCAGCAGTGATGCATTCCTCCCTAGGTCAATCTCTTGCCCTGCTGCAACTTCTCCTCCTTGTCATATGCCTCTGGCCGGTTGTACTGCCGTTGCAGGGAGGTTGGACGGTGAGTGAGTACCATCAGTCAGCTTGTCACGAGGATAGGCTCAATCATGGTGGCACAGAGCTGACACGGCGGATGACAACTCAAAGGCTGACACAGCTCAAAGGAGTTCTCACCTCGAGCACCTTGCCCACGTCCTCCACTTGCTTCTTGGCCAGCCCCAGAACCTTTCGCCTGTACACGTGTGTGCGATGATGTACGTGCCCCTCCCCACATAAGAGATGCATGGTGCATATGCATGCGAGAACAACTCACCTCCAGCACCTTCTCCACGTCCTCCACTAGCTTCATCGCCCCAGCCCCAGCCCCTTGCGCTTGTATGTACTGATGCATGCGAGCCTACCCACACTAATGACGCAGCCTGGTGCACAAGTATGTGATGGCACATGTGACGATACTCACAACAGTCGAGCAGGCAGAGTTCTCACCTCCGGCACCTTCCCCACGTCCTCCACTTGCTTCTTCGCCAGCCCCAGCGCTTTGCGCTTGTATGTGAGGATGCATGCGATGGCAAATGTGATGGTTCTCACAACAGTCGAGCAAGCAAAGGTGTTCTCACCTCGAGCACCTTGCCCACGTCCTCCACTTGCTTCTTGGCCAGCCCCAGCACCTTGTGCTTGTACCGCTGCTCCGCCTGCTCCCTCTCCGTCAGCTTCACGTCCGAAAACAGGTACTCCTCGTCCACCAACTCGTCCCTGCGGTACAGTCACGTCATAGACAAGCACAGACGAGACGAGTATGTGAAATGCGTTACTGCCAGATATGCGTCTGCAAGCAAATACTCCTCGTCCACCAGCTGGTCCCTGTGACGCAGATCCGTTGCAGACAGGCCCAAAACAGACAACAGTGTCACAAAAATAAGTGTCATAAGTTGCATGCACTCAAGCCTGCGGTGGTTCGAGCTATAGGAAGGCGAGAAACAGCACAACGAAACACTTACTCTAGTTCCTGGAGCTTCTTGGCTTCTCGCTTTGAAAGGTACTCCTGGCGGGAGATTTCCCTTAGGCTGGGCATGAGTTCCCGCTGCTGCTCCGCCTCCTGCCTCCTCCTCAACGCCTCTGATCAGTGGTGCACGCATGGCATAGTATGGTGTGGTGTGGCATGGCATTACGTGGCATGTATGGCATGGTGTGGCATAGCATTACGTGGCAAGTATGGCATGGTGTGGCATAGCATTACGTGTGGCATGTATGGCATGGTGTGGCATAGCATTACGGGGCATGTATGGCATGGTGTGATATGCAAGCGGAGGGAAGGAGGCACGGAGATGGAAGAGCAGCCAGGGGAAGTGATGGCGTGAGAATGAAGGGAGTGATGATGTGAGAATGAAGGGAAGGGGGGTGGAGACGTGACAGAACGCCAGGCCAACATGCAGAAAGGAGTCTGAAGGCAGAAATGTGACCAACACAAGGTGTGGGGGGTAATGAGGAGGCAGAGCAGGGGGGTCGGCAGAGCAGCATGGCTGCATGGCACACATGCCACGTCACATGTGACGTGTGCCAGATGGCGTGTGGATGGTGAGGCGGGGAGCGAGACAGGTGGAGTAAAACGTGACTAACCTTCTTCCTTCTTGGAGAGCTTGGGCTCCAGCTTCTGCGCACAGGAAGGATGGGATGTGGAGGGGAGAGTGAGGAAGAGGGCGGAAGATGAGCTTTTTTTAGGCGCCTCAAGAATCAGCTTCTGCAAACAGGAAGGACGGGATGTGGAGGGGAGAGTGAGGAAGAGGGCGGAGGATGAGCGAAGATTGGGGCGGGGGAAAGCAGAGATGAAGAGGACTGAAGGTAGACGAGGGGGGGGAGAAGAGAGGTGAGGGGGGCTGAGGGGCGGAGAAAGGGGGTGGAGAGGAGGTGACGTGGGGGGATGGCAAGAACAAAGGCAGCGCGAGTTTGTCAGGAGTAAGGAAGAAGGGATTTTCCCCACCTTGGTTTTCTCCTCGTCGCGCTGCTTGAGCCGCTCCTCAAACTCCTCCCTCTCCAGTTGGTCCCGCTCCCTCTCCGCCTCCCTCTGCCGCTCCAATGCCGCCTGCCAGCACGCAGCACGCAGCAGACAGCAGGCATGAATCAAGTCAGTCTCCTTTCCAACCGCAATTTTGGCAGCTATGCAAAGGAACAATGCCTTCTGACAAAAGGAAACAGGTGCTTGGAACAGGGGGTTCATAATTGCTTCCTTCACAGAAACCACAAGCACAACTCACCTCCGTAACCTTCCTCTTGCACCCTTCTTCCGCCTCAAACCTCCTATTCATCCATGGCCTACCTCTTCATCCTCCTCCTCCTCTCCTTTCCTCCGTCCACTCCTGTGCTCGCTCTGCCTGCCCCTCTTGCGCTGATACTCCGCCAGAGCCTGAGGGGAGGGAGAGAGGGCAAAAACGGGGGAATAGAATAGTTTGTCCTGCATAAAAGCGTCTCAAGAATCGGAACTTCCTGCTTCTCTTGCCCTGATACTCCGCCGGAGTCTGAGGGGAGGAGGAAGGTAAGGAAGGGGGTGCAAGGCGCTAAACCCCCTTATAAGCTGCTCCAAGCATGGACTCCGTTGAAGTAAGGAAGGGGGTGCGAGGTGCAGAGTTTCAGTAGGCAATTCCCAACCTGAGCAGTGGTCTCATTTCTGACCTGAGCAGTGGCGTCATCATCATCGTCAGCACCTTCCAGCTCCTCCCTCCTCCGCCTCAACTGCTTCCTCTTCTTCCCCTCCCCCTCCTCTGCCCCCCCCTGCCCATCCCTTTCCCTCTCCTGTCCCTTCCTCTCCTTCTCCTCCCTCTCCCTCTCTCTCTCTCGCTCCCTCTCCCTCTCCTCCTCCTCCTCGTCATCGTCGGCGTCTAGAAGAGCGTACTGCTGCTGCCGCCGGGCAAATTCCGCCGCTGCTTTCTCCTCAGTCTTGTACGACTGGAAAGGGTTGCACAAGGGAGGAAAACAGGGTGTCAGTGAAAGGGAGAGGGAAGGGAGAGGGAAGGGAGAGTGGGTTACACACAGAGGGGATGAGAACCTTTGCTACCCTTTTACTACCCCTGGGTCCATAGAAGAGCATGCTTCTCCCGAAACGCAAATCCGCGTGCTACTGTGAAAGTGCACCCATGCGTTACACTAACGAAGATGCCACACTGAAAGCGACTCCACGCGCTACCGTGTAGCAGAAGTCAAACGTTTCTTGAACCTACGTGCTTCTTGAATCTACCATCTTGAACCTACGTGCTTCTTGAATCTACCATCTTGAACCGAGCAAAGACCTACTGAAGGGCCTTTCTTGGCGCTCGGTATTCTCGAGGCCAGCTGGCCGGCGAAGGCTGACGTGGCAGGCGACGCTGGAAGGCCATTGGACGAGAGGCTGGATGTGAGAGCGCTCACGCTGGACGCTCGCTTGGCTGCGGAGACGACACGTGGCACGAAAGAGACAGGAAGGTAAGATGGAGAACTAAGGAGACAGGCAAGGCTTCGTAGTCTGACTAATTTCAGCTAAGAGGCATGTTCGAAACGGGAAAGCTGGAATAGAACACCGGCAACTGATTGTCCGCTTGAACCGAGTCGCGAGTCGCGACTCCTTCTACACGGTCTACAGATCATATCAGATTCACTATATTCTATCAAATTCTTTCGAATACGATCAGATTCACTATGAGCGACGCACCTAGCGCGATGACGAACGTAACGAGGCTGGACTCGGAGTAGCCGAGTATCTGATACAGCTGATCCGACACCCACGTCTTTAACTCCCTCTCGTCCGCCATTCCTCGATATTGTCGCTGCGGAACGTCTTTCTCGGGAGAACCGTTATGACAGTGGTGAGAAGGAAGCCTGTTACAGCATCTAAACGGCCTCAGCAGAGGAATGTGTGACGTGATGGTATCCTGAGAACCATGCCAGCCTAGAAGTGAAGGTAGGCTTGACGTTCAGGGCAGCAGCAAACTCTCTCACAGAAGCAAATCTCGTAAATCCTCGATATTCCCGAGCTCGCTTTCCGAGCTCGTTTTGTGTCATGTGTACACAAACGCATTTGTACAGTGTCTGAAAGATATTTTGAAGTTTGAACCCCAATCAAGCCATTCAATTCCCAAGGTTTCCATAGAACCCTAAGCTTGCGCCCCGTACAAATCCATACTCACACTGCATCCTCCCTGGAGCAAGTCTAGGAATAAAGCACTCCTACAGTAAGCTCTCTTTTCTGATCATCACCCCTCCTCTGCTGTTAGCCGCTAGGGTTTGCCATTGAATCCCTTATCGTGCGAAACGGCGGCGTAGCTTTGAGGCATTGGCCCGCAGAAAGTAGTTGCTTTCTATCCCCTCGACTTTTGATTTCGTATCCGCGTTTTTTTTCGCTTCGCTGCCTGAGGAGTCAGTAGGCATGGCAGACGCGTCAGCGCAGATCGACGAGTCGCTACAGCAGTTGACGGCGATCCAAGAGGAACTAGAAAAGGTGAAAAGCACGTTAAGATTCGACGGATTCCGTCATTACGCTGACGCATTGACGACAGCATTGAAGCACGTGAAGTTGCCTGGTCAGAACATTTAAAGCATGGCCAGAACTTTTAGGCTGTTTCCGAGCCTGCTCTCCGCCTCAGAAGATGTTTAGACATCGACGTAGCCGTTTTCAACGCAGCTAAGGCCATACACCCAGTCCATTATCCCCACCGTTCGTTCTCTCGTGGCTCATTTTCTCCCGATCGTTCTCTCTGGCCCGTCTAACCTTGGAGAGAAATAGGTCAATGAGGAGGCGAGCGACAAGGTGTTGGAGGTGGAGCAGAAGTACAACAAGCTACGGCGGCCGATATACGAGCGACGCCAGCAACTAGTCTCGCAAGTCAACGACTTCTGGACCACGGTGGTGAGCTGCGCTTTCGTCAGTCCTTTTTTTAACCTTTCTTCCAGTTGCTCCATTGTGTGTGCAGCGCCCCTTTCACATTTTTCAGCTTCTACGTTTTGTTGTTCCTTTCCGCTCATGTCATTTCTGGTGTTTATTTATTCATTTATACTTTTTCTCTTTTCTTCGCAGCTCCTCAATCACAATCTTCTTCACGCGTTTTTCACTGACGAGGACAGACAGGTGACGAGATAAATGAGGTGGAAGAGGGTTTACTGAACACCATACCATGCCTGTTACTAAAGCCTGATTAGCGCTGCATATTAGCTGATAACATACAGTGTCCGCATTTTTGTTTGCTGGAGTCAATGATTTAAGTTTCTAGCCGTTGATTTCCCCCTTTTCGTTAGATCCGTTGTTTCACCCTGCCCCATTCACTACGGCATCCTGTTGCTCCACCCTCCCACCCCCTCACTCCTACGCTTGGACCCACTCAGGTGTTGGAGTATCTGCGGGGCTTAGATGTGGAGGATTATAAAGACATCAAGTCGGGCTACAGCATCACCTTTGTACGTCCCTAATCCCCTGGTTTTCCCCATGCGTTCCTCATCCTCCTCCCAGCCGGCCGTTGTTGCCCTCGCTTCATCTGCCTCTTCTCATACATTTTACGTACTGCATGCAAAGACTTCAATTGTCAGAAGCTTGGTATGGTGTGCCTGAATGAAACCCTGAACCTCGTCCAGGTGAATCCAGGTGAATCCAGGGGAATCCAGGTACTCTTCCTCCGCGCCTTGCTGCTCACCTAGCGTCTCAGTTCCTCACCTTGCCTTGCATTTGCCCGAACCCCGGTTCTGACTTTCAGACATTCGCTGAGAATCCGTATTTCTCGAATAAGGAGCTGACTAAGAGCTTCAAGTACACCGAGGAGGGCACAGCTAACGTGGAGGCGACCAAGATCGAGTGGAAGGAAGGCATGGTGAGATGAGTGAGATGAGTGAGATGAGTGAGATGAGGGAGATGAGTGAGATGAGGGAGATGAGTGAGATGAGTGAGATGAGTCAGATGAGGGAGATGAGTGAGATGAGTGAGATGAGGGAGATGAGTGAGATGAGTGAGATGAGGGAGATGAGTGAGATGAGTTAGATGAGTGAGATGAGGGAGATGAGTGAGATGAGTGAGATGAGTGAGATGAGTGAGATGAGGGAGATGAGGGAGATGAGGGAGATGAGGGAGATGAGGGAGATGAGTGAGATGAGTGAGATGAGGGAGATGAGGGAGATGAGGGAGATGAGTGAGATGAGTGAGATGAGTGAGATGAGTGAGATGAGGGCCATGCATGCAGTCTCGCCATGGGTGCTGCATCGGTCCACTCTCCTTGCCCTCTCCCTCCCCTCCCCCCCCTTCTTAAACCCCCACTCACCCCTCCATGCATTCATCTGCCTCTCCCTCGTTCTAAGTCTGCTGACCCCTCGCCCCTCCCTCCCATCTGCCTTCCCCTGGCCGCTCTGCCTTCCCTAGGATCTGACGGCGCCAAAGCCGAAGCAGGAGAAGCCGGGCAAGAAGAGACAACTGGAGGAGGAGGAGAGGTGAGGTCATTTACCTGTACCTCGCTGCAATACCTGCTGGCACCCTCCCCGCCCTCCCCGCCCCCCCGGTCCCTCCCGCCCACTGCCCGCTGCACACACACATACCCTCCCCCTTCCTTCCCATTTTCCCTCTTCCAGTGTCCCGTCCGTCTCGTCCTACCCCTGACCCTGACCCCTGACCTTGACCCCTGACCCTGACCCCTGACCCTGACCCCTGACCCCTGACCCTGACCCCTGACCCCTGACCCCTGACCCCTGACACCTGGCCGTCCCTTAAAGCCAGGGACCCAAGTTTCTAGAACCCGGGGCAAGTGTTTTACAGTTGGTTGGGAAAAACCAGGTTTTGTGTCGAGAGGGTGCGTGAATTGCAACACTCGCAGGCGATTTCACTGGTGCCTACAGCTCGCCGGCCAATCATTTGTTCTAGTCCCAACCAACTGTTTTACAGTTGGTAAACTTGGGCCCCTGGCTTTAAACCGCTACCACCCTAGCTCTTTTTTTCTCTGTTCCACCATTCTGCCGGTATTTCAAGAATCTTCCGCTTGAACCCCTTTCTCATCCGCTGCCCCGCCAGCTTTTTCAAGTGGTTTGAAGTCGATGAGGCGGCGCAGGGCACCACGGGACCAGATGATGTGAGTGGGAATGGGGGGTGCGGAAGAGGTATAGGGAAAGATGGGTGGCAAAGGCGTGGCAAAGGGGGGCTGCTGGGTGGGGTGATGTGGGGAAGAGGTTGACAGGGGGACTTCAGGGGTAGAAGCACTTGCGGACGGACACAGCACACAAATTCATCCACTCGTATTGTTCCCCCATCCCACTTCCTTGCAGGTAGCAGGCTGATAAAGGACGGTGTGTGGCCCGACCAGCCCCCTACAGCTCTTAGCATCCGATTGCCCTGATACCCACCCCTTCCCCTCTCCCCTTTCCCCCCATCCCTTCCCTATCTCTGACAGGTAGCGGAGCTGATAAAGAACGATGTGTGGCCCAACCCTCTACAACTCGTAGCATCCAGTTGTCCTGCTCTCCCCACCCTGTCTCCCCCCCCTCTACCCCCCTCTCCCCTCCTCTCCCCCCTCTCCCCCCCTCTCCCCCCCTCTCCCCTCCCGTCCTGTATCCCATGGCAGGTGGCGGAGCTGATAAAGGACGACGTGTGGCCCAACCCTCTACAGCACTACCTGCAGGTGGGATGGGGGGCGGGTGAATGGGAGGGGAAGTGCGGTGAGTGAGCAGGGAAGTGGGTTGAGCGCAGAGGGAAATTTTTAATGCGTTGCATGGGTTTGCAGAAGAGATTGGTGTGCATTGGTGGGTTTGCACGATGAGCTGCGAAGCGATGAACTCACAGGGGCGATGCTGCTTCCGTGTGCTAGCTACCAGCACTCTCTTGGTACGTGTTAGCTCATCCCCCTGTGTCTGCTCCCTGGCCATGGCGTTGCAGGAGGAGGAGGGGTTCGAGGGAGATGAGGATGAGGATGAGGAGGGGGAGGAAGGGGAGGAGGGGGAGGAGGACGATGATGAAGATGGCAATGGGGAAGAGGTGAGCCACCAATTTGGAGACAGCTTCTGATTCTTTAGGAGAACTTTCTAAGGTATGAAGGCTCTCAAGGCTCGTAAGGTGCGGCATTAGAGGTGGGACATAGCAGCAGTTTTATGGCCCTCCGTGAGGTGCATTATTCAACTGCACATGGAGGTGGGGGTGAGTGATTAGTACGCTCGTTTTTCTCCCCATTCACAGTGCGAGTGCACTGTGTTGTAGTGTGTGCGAAGCCCGTTCCGTGAAGCCTGTTCCGTGCAGGTTTGCAGCACCGCCATCGCCATCTCACCTTGCACCGCCATCTCACCTTGCACTTGCACTGCCTCTCGCTGCTTGTCCGCTGCAGGAAGCTGAGGAAGACGAAGGTTGAGCTCCTCAGAATTATGGTTTCCAGCTTGACTAGTATCGGGCAGGGGTCAGGTCAGGACTGGACAGAAATGGGAAGGGCCTCCCTCACCCCTTTTTAGTTGGTGGAATGGGCACGCAGGAGGCCCATGGATGGACAAAGTCACGAAGCATGTACACCATGGTGCATTCAGATCTGTTTAGGAGGTGCTAAACCGGCAAGTGAGTAAGTGTTTTGCCCCGTACTCTATGTGGATACTTGTAAAACTACAAGCTCATGTTATTGTACTAACCCATGTGACTATGCATGGCGTTGAGGCAGCCCCAGCGAACAGGCAGCAATGAAGAGAGGCAAGTCATACAGGGTGTAGTCAGCCACATGCAAGGAAAAAAGCTTGCTCTCTGTACATCGATGCTTCTAACCTCAACACATGCCTATACCTTTGACCATCAACCCCTGCTACATCTAATTGTACTGGTACTTCCATGTCAACCTTAGCTCCTGCAAACCAAGCTATTGGAGGTATGCATGCAAGACTGTCCAGTGTCCACCCTACCAGTTCTTCCATACCCCCCATCCCAGGGGAACCTTGGCAAACTGCCCCCCCCCCTAGCAATGCCACTGGGCAGACTAGCAGAGAAGATAACAGCATAGAAGTTCTTAGGCTTTTCAGAGATGGAGTCAAGCACGGCCCTGCTCTTCCTTCCCACTGGCTGCTGTCAGACCACTCACGTTCTATCACGTGCCGCCGAAGCTGTAGGATTAGACAGGCACAGCAGCAGGCTTGGTGCCGATTCCGATCCTCCTTGCGCCCTGCCCCAGTGGGGATGGCTCCAACTGTACCAGTGGTGTTGATCCACGTGGCAGAGGTTGATAGGTCGAGTACAACAGGGCCTGAGGCCTTGGCGACGCCACTGTTGATAGAAACAACGTTTGGGACCTCAGGCGAAGAAAATCTGGATGGTTACATTGAACGGATGTCGAAAGTTGTGTTGGAGTTCGGTGGGGAACTTGGTGGTCCCCGTTCCACACCCCTCTCGGCTGGAATTAGGGTGGTTGCAAACAGGGATGACTTGGTTGAGTTGGTTTGCGGGAGTTGCAGCAAAAACAGTTGCCTGGCCCAAAAGTCAATTTGGGCCTAGTTACGTGGGTTGCGTGTCAACTCATACATATTTGCATATGTAGCAGTTATAGGCTAGAAGGGTTCGTGCTCTTAGAGAGTACAACACCCAACCATATATTCCCTTGTATGCCTTCATTCTATTCATTCCGTTATCAGCTAGGTTAGGTCCGCCCACCCGTGCTTCCGCCCTAGCCAACCTAGCCCGCCCTAGCTGCACTAGCCCGCCCTAGCCCGCCCCAGCCGCCCTAGCTCGTTGGCCCCGCGCTCGCTGGCCTTGCGCTCGTCGGCCCCGCGCCCGCTGGCCTAGCGCTCGCTGGCCCCGCGCTCCCTGGCCCTGCGCTCGCCGGCCCCACGCTCGCCGGCCCCTTGCTCGCCGGCCCCCCAGCTCGCCGGCCCCGCGCTCGTCGGTCCCTCGCTCGCCGGCCCCGCGCTCGTCGGTCCCTCGCTCGCCGGCCCCGCGCTCGTCGGCCCCTCGCTCGTTAGGCCCGCGCTTGCTAGCCCCGCGCTCGCTGGCCCTGCGCACGCCGGCCCCGCGCTCGCCGACCCCTCGCTCACAGGCCCCGCGCTTGCCGGCCCCTCGCTCGCCGGCCCCTCGCTCGCCGGCCCCGCGCTCGCTGGCCCCTCGCTCGCCGGCCCCTAGCTCGCCGGCCCCTTGCTCGCCGGCCCCTAGCTCGCTCGCTGCCCCTCGCGCGCTCGCTGGCCTTAGCTCGCCAGCCCTAGCTCGCTGGTCCCAGCTTGCCGGCCCTAGTTTGAGCCAGCCCCAGTTTGAGCCGGCCCCCGTTCGAGCCGGCCTCTGTTCCTGCCACCCCAGCTCGCCGTGCCGCCGCGCTGCCGTGCTGCCGTGCCGCCGTGCTGCTGGGCTGCCGTGTCACCATGGCGCCGTGTCGCCGTACCGCCATGTTGCCATGTCGCCGTGCCGCTGGGCCGCCATGTCACCGTCAGCCGCTGCGGCCGTGGTGATCGTGGACGCTGTTCTCCGCCTGGATGCGGATGGTCGGGCGATAGACTTTGAGGCGTGGCTCGCCGACCTCCGCCGCTGGATGTGGGGTCTGCGCCAGGATGGCCAGTCCTTGGCCGTCCACGTCGACGGTAAGATCCCCTGCCCCGACCCACCTGCTGCCCTCTCTGACACCCCCACGCCTGCTGAGCGTGAGGCCTTTGCAGCTGCTGAGCTCGCCCACTCTGTCTGCGAGTCACACGACAAAGTCGCGTAGCTTGCAATCAGTCGCACCCTCCCCCTCTCCGAGTGTCCCCGCTTTCAGACCGTAGAGACTTCGAAGGAATTCTTGGATGCTGTCATTGCACGCTACTCCACTCCCTCCTCCGACTCTTCCGGCCGTTTCCTACTCCCCCTCCTCTTTTCTGATCTCGCGTCCTTCCCCACTGTCGCTGACCCGGCCACTCACTTGCGCGCGCTTGAGACTAGCTACCGCGATGCTAGCACTAAGGCCCAGCTCACTATACTGCCCCCCCCCCCCCCCCCCCCCAATCACCTCTACCCTTTTCTTCATTGCCAAGCGCCTTCCCGACCGCCTAGCCGCTGCACACGACCACTGCCTTGGTCTCCACCCCACTCACCTCACCCTTACCGAGTTCGTCACCACCCTGTCTGAGGTAGAGACCCCCGAGCGCGCTATTGCTCAGTCCAGCGGTATTGCGGCCATCCCTATCTTCTAGGGCTGTGCTCCCTCCTAGTGCACTTACTTTGACATGTCTGCTGCTGTCGCTGAGACATCCCCTACTTCTGAGATCGCCGTAGCAGCCTCATCGCTGTTGCGTCAGGGTAGGGGCCGCCGTCCCTAGGGGGGGCGTGGTGGATGGAGGGGTGGCGGGGGTGGCAATAGTGGCGGAGGTGGTGCGAGTGCCGGTGGTGCAGACGAGGGGACCGGGGCTGATGCCTCGACGCAGTAGTGGGAGCAGCAGCAGCAGTCGCAGCTGCAGCCGCAGCAGCAGCAGTAGCAGCCGTGGGGATCTCCGCCGCCGTGGTGGCCTGGTGTCTTTGGTGGTGGCAGTCACGGCGGCGACGCGCGCAGCTCGGCGTCGGGTGGCGGCTCCAGTGCGGTGACCTGCAAGTACCAGCTCTAGACCCGCCCTCGTCGCAGCACCGTGTGCGATCGACCCGGTCACACCGCAGCTCGCTACTACCGCCGCCTCGACAACCTCTTCCATCTCCAGCCCGGCCCTGCGCCGGACCTCACCGCTTGCCACAGCCTGGTACATCGTCGTGCTTCTTTCTATGCCATGTATACTGATGACTCTAGTGCCACTAGACCCTATTACCCTGTGTTGCCTACTAGAAGTGTTTCCACTATGCATAGTCTAGACTCCCCTATTGCCTCAGGCGTATGATCTGTTATAATCACAATAGGCTCAGATGTGCCTAAACCACTTCCAATGCTGCTGCTCAACCAGCCTCTTGGTCATCATATCAGCAGGCTGCGCCGTCGTCTTCACGTAGTGCAACTTCACTTCACCCGAGGTTACCATGCTCTTCACCCAATGCCACTTCACCATCATGTGCTTGGTAAGTACGGGGTTTTTAGCCAATGCAAAGCACCTTGGCTATCACAATAGAGTGGGGTAGGTCCTTTCTTCTCCTCCCCCAATTCAGCTAGCAAACTCCACTGCCACACAACCTCTCTTATGGCACGAAAGAGTGCCATGTACTCGGACTCCACCGAGCTCAATGCATGGTCCACTTGTTTCTTGCTCTCCCAAGGTGTTGGTCCTCCGCAAACAGCAAATGAAGCCTCCCATACTTGTCATATCCTTAGGTTCTGATGCCCAAGATGCATAAGAGAAGGCGGTGAGAAAGAGCCTCCCGGGTTCGACTCCATCCGCACCCTTTTGACGCCCTTGTCCGACCTCCGCCGCTCGCTGTGGGGTCTGCGCCAGCATGGCCAATCCTTGGCCGTCCACGTCGATGGTAAGATCCCATGCCCCGACCCACCTGCTGCCCTCTCTGACACCCCCACGCCTGCTGAGCGTGAGGCCTTGGCAGCTGGTGAGCTCGCCCGCTCTGTCTACGAGTCACGCGACAAAGTCGCGCAGCTTGCAATCAGTCGCACCCTCCCCCTCTCCGAGTGTCCCCGCTTTCAGACCGTAGAGACTTCGAAGGAATTCTTAGATGCTGTCATTGCACGCTACTCCACTCCCTCCTCCGACTCTTCCGGCCGTTTCCTACTCCCCCTCCTCTTTTCTGATCTCGCGTCCTTCCCCACTGTCGCTGACCCGGCCACTCACTTGCGCGCGCTTGAGGCTAGCTACCGCGCTGCTAGCACTAAGGCCCAGCTCACTATACTGCCCCCCCCCCCCATCACCTTTACCCTTTTCTTCATTGCCAAGCGCCTTCCCGACCGCCTAGCCACTGCCCACGACCACTTCCTTGGTCTCCACCCCACTCACCTCACCCTTACCGAGTTCGTCACCACCCTGTCTGAGATAGAGACCCCCGAACGCGCTATCGCTCAGTCCAGCGGTACTGCGGCCATCCCTATCTTCTAGGGCTGTGCTCCCTCCTAGTGCACTTACTCTGACGTGTCTGCCGCTAACGCTGAGACAACCCCTACTGCTGAGATCGTCGTGGCAGCCTCAGCGCAACTGCGTAAGGGTAGGGGCCGCCGTCCCTAGGGGGGGCGTGGTGGATGGAGGGGTGGCGGGGGTGGCGATAGTGGCAGAGGTGGTGCGAGTGCCGGTGGTGCAGAAGAGGGGACCGGGGCTGATGCCCCGACGCAGTAGCGGGAGCAGCAGCAGCAGCCGTGGGGACCTCCGCTGCCGTGGTGGCCTGGCGTCTTTGGTGGTGGCTGTCGCAGCGGCGACGCGCGCAGCTCGGCGTCGGGTGGCGGCTCCCAGTGCGGTGACCTACAAGTACCAGCTCTAGACCCGCCCTTGTCGCAGCACCGTGTGCGACCGTCCCGGTCACACCGCAGCTCGCTACTACCGCCACCTCGACAACCTCTTCCTTCTCTGGTTCGGCCTTGCGCCGGACCTCACCGTCTGCCACAGCCTGGTACATCGCCGTGTGCTGGTGTTTGGGATGGATATGGATCAGATTAGCTCTGCTTTGTATGCCATGTATACTGATGACTCTAGTGCCACTAGACCCTATTACCCTGTGTTGCCTACTATAGGTGTGTCCACTGTGCATAGTCTAAACTCCCCTGTTGCCTTAGGCGTATGATCTCC